TGAGCATCTTGTGCCCAATGAACATTACCAGTCAGGGCTTTCCAGGTAGGATCCTTTCTGTGTTATTGATGCTACATGAACCCAAGTGGGCATGTGTGCTGCTTTTCCACGAAAAGAGTCCTCTGTCTGGTGATGTGGCAGAGGGCAGTCTTCTATGTGATGCTATCCAACATTTGAAGGGGTGTCCAGTTTAAAAATCAAGAACCATAAGAAGAGAATAGGAACCTTATAGCTGCCCACCAGAAATTAGTGCTGGGGCAGCTGACACAGCATCTGAACCCCGCTGTGATGAAATGTATTGCATTTCCATTTGAAATACAGCAAATATTACTAAATTTGCATCTACATGCATATATTTGCACAAGAACATTTTGTGCAAATCTGTGCTCTCTTTTGGGGGGATTTTTTTTGTCATGCATAAGTGGCCAGCCGAACATTACTGATACTTATAATGAGCAACGATAATTATATATTGATACTATGAATAATATGACAGGACATATAGTGATTGAAGCAGGAAGGGAAAGAAGAATTTGTACTGTAATTTAGAAGAATTGTTTTCACTCCCCCCGCTCCCTCTCAAATTAGGATTGCCATGAGCAACAAAACATGCAGGAGGCCAGGTAGCACTGGGATAGTTTTATATCTAATTCTAATAAGCAATTGTAGCAAAGTTAGTCACTGAAAATTTAGGAGCTGAAAATTCAGTGATGCAATGTAGATATCTTGATGCTTTTTGTATGATTGTCGCTAGTGCTTGGAAAAGATGCCTGCTCAGCTAAGGTTAAGTTAAAGCCAGTCAGCATAGGGATGTTTTTTCCTACTCTGGAATGCCATTCCAATGGAAATATCATTGATTCTGGCTTTTTCTTTCTGGGGCCACATTTATTCATTTATTGCCCAGGCACTTTACCATTTTTATTTTAATATTTTAAGTTTTAAATTTTAAAAATGATTTGATGTATTTTGTTTGGCTTTGCTACCTGTTTAATTTGATGTTTGATATAATAACTTTATTTTTAGTTTGGATTTCTTGTTTGTAATCTTGTGTACACTGACTTGGGTTCTGTGGATGGAAGGCAGTCGAATACTTAGGATACAACTTACACCAGATCAGAATCTTTGTCCATCTAACCCAGTCTTATATTCTCTGACTAGCAGTGACTCTCCATGGTGTCTTGCAAAGGTCATTGCCATCATTTGCTTTTAGTAATCCATACACCCACAGTTGCAGTAATTAACAATGTAGTTATATATAGAGCACCCATTTATGTATCACCAAAAATGAGGAAATGCATAACACACACGCACACACAAAGGAAGAAAGAAGGTATTTTTCTTAAAATGTGCATGTGCTGAATCTTATGTATATATGCACGTATGGGAAAGCATTACTAAAATGAGTTGACAATAACTTTCAAGTGCCCTGCTCTCCTATTTTGTTCTTTGGTTCTCTGGTTTAAACCATACTGTGACCAGACAGCCCTTCAAATACCAAGGTATCCTCTGTAAATTACATGGACAACCAAGTTATGTAGGTTCTTCTTGGACTGAAGATGTCACAAAGACGGAAACAGTGCAAGGAGCTGAAGGGTATCATCAACTAGTGGGTTTTGACTAAAATGTGCTTGTGTGGCACTTCAGAATAGGGAATATATGAACATAATCATAGAATAGTAGAATTGGAAGGGGCCATGAAGGCCATCGGGTCCATCCCTCTGCTGTTGCAGGACACCAACTTACACTATCCCACTCAGATGGCAGGAATGAAATATTTTTTTTGGAATCATAAACTTCAAAATAATTAAAGGCCAAACTCCTAGTTGCATCCATTACACTGCATCCAGATGTGGATTTTCGTATCCTTTACTATCATGTAAGGCTATGTAGTCCGGATTTATATCAGGGCTGTGGTACTCAAGGGTGGAGTTAAATCTTTCCCCAACCCAGTTTTGTTCTGAAATTCCAGCCCTGCCATGGTGATGGATGTTTAGAAAAAAAAAAGATGTGTATGGGAAGCTTTTATTGAATCAATGCAGATGTTTTTCTTTTTTAGTCTCCCCGTTTGGAGAGCGTGATTTTATGGCTGGAACAGAAGGGTTAACCCTCGTCTTCCAGAGTTCCATGGTTTTGATCAATGAGTAAAATAAGCGAAGCCTCACCTACACCTGATGCAGTTACAGTGGCGTCTTGGTTCACGAACGCCAAATCGGGTCGCGAACAAAAATTTCATAAAAATTTAGACTCAGGCCGCGAACTCTGCATTGGGTAGCGACCATGATCGCGGCCATCTCCCCACCCCCGCAAGTGGGGAGATGACCACGATCGTGCTGGGAAGGGAAGGAGGTGGCCACGATCTTTGTTGTTCTTTTTCACTTTGCTCCACATTTTTCTGATTTAAAAAAATAGTTACAGAATGGATTCACCTTATTTACATTGAACCGTATGGGGAAATTTAACTTGGCTCATGACCAATTTGGGTCACAACCAGAGTCCTGGAACAGATTAAGTTCGTGAGCCAAGGTACCACTGTATTATCATGTATTTTGGCTCTTACTGCCACAAACAAGAGTTTAAGATTGAAACCCTTAATTGTAATCAGAAGCTTACATTGTAGTGCATTGGACTTACAGGAGTTGTATGTGCAAAAATATAGACTAAAAGTCATTTCTCCAAACCCATGGTCTACATGAAAATCTAAAATTAGTATAAAATTACTATATTTTCTACAGTGAAGTATGGTCTGCCTCCATTTGTCCACAATTGCATCTGTTGGAGCACCTTCCATGCTCAGATGTGGACAGCATTATTTTGGGAAATAATTTCTGTCAGAACAGTCTAGCTACATAGATGCTCTCTGCGTGGACACTTCAACTTGCAATTTGTTTGGCTTTCAGCAGAAGCAGCAGTAACCACATGGACCGTATCCAAGTCCTCAGATGAAAGACCACTGGTTACTGTGCCCTGCCTCTGTAGGCCTCTTTAATTGTCCATATGATTTGGCTAGATAGGACAAGTATAGGACAAAAAAGGCTTTTCCCCTTTTTGAAAGGATGCTCTTTGTCTAGGTGGTGTTTTATCAGAAATATTAAGATGAATATTGTGTATTCATATTGTAGTCCCCCATCAAAACATTTGGAGGGCCCCAAGATGCCCACTTCTGATCTAGAGTTAGAAGCTGGGTTCATAATTGCATCTGGGAAATCCAGTGTCTAGAGCATAGCAATGACTTGAAGACTAACTATGCTGTCCAATTCTCTCAGTAACTACTTTGATGCACACCCTGAATGAAATGCACTTCTTTTGCACTGTCCTCTGCTACCTCATCTGCTTGCCATATGTGTCTCCAAACACATCTGCTGATTCCTTCACGGTGTTCAAGGAATAAGCTCTTCCAGCAAGCAGATGATGATGTCGAGGAAGATCTAGCTCAAAAGCATGTTAGGCTTTATTAAGACAGAGGACAACTTGCTGTCAGTCCAGTAAAATTAGTCCAAGCTGGGACCTTTCAAGTCAATACAAAGGAAGCCAAGCTCAGATTCTTAAGTCAGGGGAGTAGAGTGCCTTCATAGGGAACATAGTAGAGACTACACAGTTAGATCTTTTCTGAAAAGAGAGGTCATTGAGAAATTATAACAAAGGACATTTATATGATTACGGTTTTCAAGGAAGAGTGAGAGAAAGAGCAGGATGAGTGGCATAAATGTACAATATGCTTTTAAGCTTTGGAACTGGGTAGGACTTAGAAAAAGTAGAAGAGAGTAATAAACATAAGTAAAAGAACTACAAGAGCCCCTTCCTTATTATTTTTGGATATAAGCCATTCTTTCCTCCACTCTTCAGCAAAAGAGTTTTGAAGCAGATCTTGTACCCTGGATATGTTATGAGCCAGACCCTTCTCTTCCTTCCCTTAGGCTCCAAAACACCAGGCAGTCCTCAACAATGCAGATTTTTATTGGTATTTCACAGCTAAGAAGGCAATAAAACTCCGAGAACACTTTAGCAAGCTGAACAATAAGCTGCTGCTCATGTGAAGAGTGTTGAGCCCAAATTAGAAACTTCTCCCCCATCCTTCCCTTTCAGTAAAGGCAAGGACTGCGGCTCCACGCTCAGGGTGGCTCCCATTGGTGGAGAGCCAGCTGGAAGACCTATGTAAGCCTTCTAAAACCAGACAGCTCATCTTCCTTGGTGCCTCATGACAGTGTCAGGGACCAGGCAAGGCAGCAGCAATAATCACTCCTCTCCTGGGACCTCTCCATCTCTTTCAAAACATTTCTGCTCTCATGGTTGACTTGAGAAACTTCAGGAAATGACCTTGATGGAGCTTCAATGACTTCTGCCTTCATTGATCCGCTTGCCTTCCCAACTTCTCTTCCTCTGACTCTTCAGAATCTGATCACCTTTGGAAATTTAGCCTGGCCCATCCATTCACTACATACAAGTGTATATAGGATTCTGAAAAATATCCAGGCATATTGCACGGACTGGAGCCTTTCCAGGTCCAGTAAACAAAAACAACACAATGTAGGCTCTAATGAGACAGAGTGGTTTTCTGAGTCCACTACCTTGAACATTAGTGGGTCATGATTCTCCTGTTTAGGTGGCAATCCTAGGCATATTGTCCCAGGAGTAAGTCCAACTAAACATAGCAGGAATTACTTCTGAGTAAACAAACAGATTTGCACAATTAGTGAAATAAGACCAGACGTAGATAGAGGGAAATGCAAAGCTGATTCCCGTGGTATGTTCTATTTTATTCCCCAAGGTTTTTGAATCTGAAATGAAATATTCTAGTTATAAGGATACATTAAGCTAATGCTTTTCCTTTCTAAGCCCTTTCCTCACTCCTTGCTTGATCCTATAATTCCCTTACTTGAATGGATAAGTGCTAAGCATTCCTTTGGGTGATTACAGATGTGTTTTATATATATATATTGTTTCAGAAAACTGAAAGAAGATTCTTTATTTTCTTCCCCTCCCACTTTTTCCTCTTCTATCAGGTGATTCTCATTCTCACAAAGCTGCATGACTTCAACTTGGGAAGTGTTACTGAGAGCTCACTCTGGAGGTAAGCAGATTATCTACATCATAGTATCGCTGGGGCAGGCACCAGCTGCATGAAATGTAGATGGGAGGCTGAAGAGTTTGAAATGGAACGAAAAACTGTGCTCATCTTCATGGAGACAGTACCTCCTTGCACATTGGGATGCTCATGATCAGAAAAATGTTATTGCAGAGAAAGTGCAGTGGGATTTGAGGATACTTCTGTCACTTTTTGCACAAGAACAGTACAATACTTGCCTTTGGATTGCCTCTCTGAATAAAAATTACTGGTTCATAGACAAGATTGTGTCAGGTTCTGGTATGCCCTTTGAACACAGAGGCTGGTAAATGTTTCATGCTGAAGCCCACGTCTCAATATGAAAATTGTATTATGGACATAAAAGCACATCATTAGATCCAGGTATCATTCGTTTAGGGAGCTGAATGAAAATCTCCAAAATCTGTTTGTGGCCTTCAGGTGGGAAGGTTAATGTGTGTGTGGAGTTGTGTTTATGCACACACCCACACATACACACCTCAAGTTCTTTCTGCTTAGGAAGACATACGTGATTCTTTTGTAAAAATTTAACAAAAGTAAAATAAAATAAAATAAAATAAAATAAAATAAAATAAAAAGGGCCAAGATGATATTGTGCTGGCCAGATTCAAAGGTATAGTTATTCCTAGGATGGAGGGGACCAGCCAAACCTATGCATGTTTAGATAGAAAAAAGTCCTACAACTCCCAGGGTTCCATGCCCAACCACACAGAGAGACGTTTTTTCTGCGTAAACTTGCATTGGACTGCCTCTGTAGTCATACAAATGAGTTCCGTAAGAGTTTGCACAATAGAGCTTGTTGTGTCTCAGTCACATGCTTTTTTTCTGAATTGCAATACCTCCCTCTTACTGTCCGAAATCTGATTTGGCACCCAAAATATAACTGAATACACAGAAATCCAAGCTCAGACTTTTAAGGAAAAAAGCACTGGGCCTTATAGGATGGTCCTGTCAGTTCATTCCACTTCCAGTTTTTTGTTTTGTTTCTAAAATCTTACATTCTTTCTGTCCCATTAATGAAAAAATGGTTGATTTTAGTCACTTCTTAGAAAATATTGAACGAAACACATTTTTCACCCCTCTTCTAAGAAGCCCCGCGGTTGCTATAGCTATTAGTCGGTGTCTGTTAGCTTCTTTTTAAGTGTTTGGGGAAATCAGTAAAACAGGAATAGAAATGTTAATGAGGTGCAATGTTTAGGAACAGGTTGCCTCTAAAGGAATCCCTGGATGCTTAACAATACAAAGATGAGAATGAATAAATGAAAGAGATTCTCTCAACCCAAGGTTGCACAAAATATTAAACAATTGAATGGTGTCCTCCTACATTCTACCTACCTGTTTTTGTTCATCTTTTTCTCCTTTCATTGGAAAGCCCATGTCAGATACTGCTTCCAAACATAACCATGGGAAAAACAGCTCCCCAGACTGAACATGTAAATGCACTGGGGGTTAATTGTTCCTAAGAGCTCTTGAAACTTTTCGATTTACATGGAACCTCTAAAGCCTAATTGCACTGTACTGTGCTAATCCGCAGAGGTATAAATAACCCTGAGACTAATAGGAGTGAGCACAGTCATTTCCACTTACTGCATACTTTTCAGGGTATTTAAGCCTGGGGGTGGGGGAACCCAAAACTTTTTTTCTTTGTACTTAACAAGTGCAAATGACACAGTGATTATAGTTTAAGCATAATTACTGCACAATCTGGCTCTGCATAAATAATATAACAAGCCAAAGGAATTTTTCTGTTAATGCTGAGAGAAGGCTGCACTGCCTGAGCTGGGAACCAAATAAATACATACATACATACATACATGCCGACAGCATTTTTACACTTGGAAATTTTGGGGCTGAAAAAGGGGAGAAAAAAAATCCTGTGTTCAAAATTAGAGCTTTTCTTTTTTGTACATGTGGGACTTGAAGGGTTCCCAGAAAAAAAAAATGCTAAAATTAACCTGTCTGTTGCTAAAGTGATCCTGGCATGTTCTACTAGTGGAGGTTTCTGAGATACAGGGAATGGTGGAAACCTTGGAGATGAGTAGTTTGGTCATGTTCCAACGTTGATCAAGCACATTTTTCTCCTTGCAGTAGCCAGGCTTTAGGATGTTTGGGGGAAGGAATGTCAAAGAAACTGGACTCTATAGTAGAGAACATTCTCATTTTGAATCTGCGATTGAAGAGTAGCTTGCTACCCGAGGAGAAGGGGGACCTATGTGGACAGCGGAACAGTTCATGCATTACTTCTTTGGCAAAGCATTCACACAGGGACCTTTTGTATAAATGGGGACGTGCTTGCATGCGTCTGCCACTTGGGTTCATAATTCTAGATGCTACAGCAGATAATTCAGTAGCAACTGGAAAACCAGGACTTGTTACTGCAAACCATCAGCTATTTTTGTGGAGATGTTGTGAGAGATGTTTAATGCAGCCATCTACCTGGGAATATTTGGAGAGCATAAGTGACAATCTGGAGTCTATTGCAGGTCTATTGCAGGTTCTGCCTGGATTCTTGTTGATGTACATTTTGTGAATTGATATTTAGCACTTGGTCTGCTGTCTCTTCACTGTTCTTAAGTTGTGTCATACTTCTGCTATACTCACATACCACCTATCCAGGCCTCCACTGTGTTATTCTTGATACTACTCAAATGCTCTGAATTCTACAGAAGCCTATAAACTGCAACCAAAATACTGTTTTCCCAAAGCCCTGAGGTTGAACAGCTTAATCTTGTGCTTTTGGCTTTCTTTCTTGCGTGGTAGCAAAGTAGCATTGTGGTTTCAGCATAGATGTCTTAATTAACGAATTATACTAGGGTAGCAGAAGGAAGAGAATGGATATAAATACCAACAGAAGTGGTTCTCCTTATAAACATTTCTTAAAATATGAAGAAAGGTATAAATTAGATTAGGAGATTCTTTTGCCTGCATGTAGGGAACATGTTGGGTGCATTATGAAAACCTTTTGCTTTGTGTAAAAAAAGACAAATGAATATACACGTTTAAAATGTTTTTCTAATTTGCTAATTTTGTCTTATAAAGTTATTTTGAAAAAGAAAAAGCTATTCATGGTTAGAGAGGGTTCAGTCCTCAGTTGATCTGGATGTGATCATATGGGGTTGTTGGGCAGAAACTGGACTTTGGCCACAGAAGGGAATTTCAGTGAGCTAAACTGAACATGTACACGGAAGGCTGCTAGTAGCTGTAGATCAGAGTAGGTGAGGTGAGCATAGAACTGTGACTCCAGAACTCCTGTTTTCCTTTTCACCCTTCTGGCTTTCACTCAGCTTTAACTCTGCCTCCCTCGCATGGCTGTGTGCATTAATGAAATCTGACACAGTGTTGCAGAGAGTTTCTGCTCTGACCCATTTGCCATGGCAGCTTACAACAGGGGAATGGCAGTAATTAGTTACTCTTCTATCACCGATGATAAATGGACCAGTCCTCCTCTTCCCTTGCCTTTTTAGGGATTCAAGTGAAGTGCAAAAAGTTGGGTGGCCATGAGCCTTCTTTGACAGAGGAGCATCCTTTCTTTGAAGGGCTCTTGACTAGTTTCAGAATTTTGCAAACTGTCTCTCATCCGTAATAAACACCTGAGTAGCGGACTGAACAGGGAGGACACAGGTCCATTGCCTACATGGTGAGGTCATGCATAGTGTTTCTATTTAAATGGCAACAATTCAGTATATGCAGATTTTATCCAAATTGGCACCTGCTTTGTCCTCTTTTTGAATGGCACATTTCCTCCTTTTGTCAATCCATAGCTGCCCATCCTGATTGGGGCATTGCCAGCATAGTATCCATAAGCTATGATTGTACTAGTGCTTAGGCCATCCTTCTCCAGCTGATGTCAGATGTCCTCAAGATGTCTGTCTGCTTCTCCTATCATCTCCAGCTTGTTGAGAGTGATGGAAGTTGTCATCCACCAGATATGTAGGGTACCAGGATTGATATGGAGATGGCTTAGGTGGAGAATGCATGTTACCCCACCAAGATTAGCCAGCAAAGCCCATGGAGATGGGTGATAAAAGCTGGAAGGTCACACATTTCCCAGTGCCGGCTTAGGTTGAGTTCAGGTCCCAGCATTGTCACACAACTGAGTTTTCATCTCATACCAGTCCTGGGATCCTATGAACTGTTGTTTTAGGAAGGCAGATACTGATGGGCAGAACCAGCTCCAGGTGTAAGGAAGGCTTTGGCAAATTTCTTCTGGTGCTCCCTGTGCAATAAGCCTATTAAGCTAGATAGGAAGCCCTTCTTCCAACCCAAGCCAACCTTCATTTTACTGGGGCAGCAAACATGCTGTGCAGGAAAGGGTAGGGCTGTAGCCATGTACCTTATATATATTTTTTCCTACTATGGCCCAGATATATTTTGCAGGCATGAAGCTTGAAGGTGGCTCTGTAGCACTAGTGGATGCTTCTGGCTTTCTGAAAAAGCCATCAATGCAATCTATAGCAGCCTAAAACAACAAAACATTGTAACAATTAAAAAAATAAACAGCAAAACATTAAAAATAACATTTTTAAAAAAGATAAATGTGAAAAGATAGAAACATAGTAAGTCTTGGACCATCTAGTCTGACTGCCAGCAGAAGATGGTTCTACTCAATGTCCAACATGTGGGTGTCCAATCTTTCCTTGAATGCTCTCACTGATGGAGCCTCCACCACCTCCCATGGAAACCCATTCCATATCCTAGGGGTCCTAACCATCAGGAAGTACTTCTTGACATCCAGCCTAAAGCCTGGAACCTTTAGCTTTGCCCCATTGGATTGCATCCTTCCCTGCACCACAGGGAACAGGTCACAACCCTCTACCTTGTGACATCCCATCACATACATGTAAGTCCTTATAAGAACCCTTCTGAGTCTCCTCTTCGTCAGGCTGCAGGTGTACACACTTTCTAAAGGACAAGGGAGTGAAGGCCAACTTTAGCTCTTCAGGAAGTACATTTCACAGTTAGGAAGC